TGATTAACCTTTCTCTTATACACATCTATATAAAAACAAAACTGTCTTCTCTTAATCAATTATTAAAGAGTGATGAAGGCACTGCAATGCAGTTAAGTGAAACAGTAGTTACAGCACTCAGGGACAGAATCAATGAATTACCAAAAACAGAGCCAGATGATAATGGAGAAATTTACTACTTCATAAACAAACAGCAAATGACTTCATTGAGACAATGTGCTATAGGGACTGTAAAAGATTTTAGGGCAGCAGACTGTTTAACATTAGAAGGAGAGGAATCTGTGATCAAAGATCAGACAATTATTGTCAAAATAATCAAAACAGATGAACATGAAATATATGCAAATCAACTGAAGGCAACATGGACACAGCCTACAGGGGACACCAACATCTCTCAAATTCAGGAAGATGACAATGGAGATTATTTTGTAACAGAAAAATGCACAAGTCCAGGAGTTTGTAAACTAGATGTGAGTGCTGATGATGAACCAGTTAACCAATCACCAATGACAATCAAAGTAGAAGAGGGAAGATTAGTAAACACTATTAAAATAAATGCAACAAGTATTAGAGATGTAGTTAAGTGTGAAGATGACTCCTTACTGGTTTCATGTCTGACAAATGAAATGCTCAAGTACAAGCAATCAGGAGAATATATTGGTAAGGTTACACTACCACAAGGTGTGAGAGTTAACAGAATGTACAAAATGAAGAATAGTAACATAGCATTCAATGATTTCAATGTTAATACACCTATCAGAATATGCAATATGAATGGTCAGCTGATTAAAACAATTAGTGTGGGAGCAAAGAATACAACATGGAGCATTCATTTGGATGAGACATCAAATGTTTTGTATGCAGCAGGAGGTTGGTACAGTAGCTGTGTGTACATGTTTGACATGAATAATGGCAAGACCATCAAAACAATATGGTCACAAGGTACAAAAGAAGGTCAAATGATAAATGTCATTGATGTTACTCTTACTAACCAAGGAAACCTTCTTGTATTGGAGAGTAAATGTTTTGGTACATGAACAGTAGATTACAATTATTTAATAATGAGGGGAGGTTCATAAAAGTCCTTGTTGAAGCAGGTGATGAGGATGGTAAAGTAAATTATCCATGTGCAGTAGTAGTTGATGAGGATGACAACATCATTATATCAAGTGACCACAAACTACAGCTATTCAGTAGTGATAGAAATTTCATAAAAAGAATTGATAAACCAGAAGATGGAATAAAATATCCAGAGGGATTATCCATCATTTCATATCATCCAAGGAGACTTGCAGTAGCAAATACTGGTGACAAAACAGTCAAAATATTCAATTATTAAATACTGACAGTCCACTTGCTTCACTTGTGTGTTTTCAACAATTCAAATTTATAAGTGTTGGGATATCTACATATCCATTATTTCATATCATCCACATAGAGTTAAGTTATGGATCTTAAACTTAAAATAATTATTGAATAAAATAATATCGAAATATAAAGTTGGCATAATGTTTATAAACTTGTTAAAATATTTCATTATTGAATATGATATACATAGAGCTGAAGTTGTGGGGTTTTTAATATTAATTATTCTACATAATTGATATCTATAGAGTTGAAGTTATTAAACTGAAAACATTAATACTGTAATCTGCCAACCTCAACTGTTTATAGTGTAGTTCTCATCAAATTTGAATCACACACTATTGATCTTATGATTTTATATTTTTGTAGTGTAAGTTTTTAATCATATAATGCAGATACATGTTACTTTCTTGCATATTGATGTTAAAAATGTTACTTTTCAATCTATTGGGGCTTTTTTGTACAGCCTATCCAGGGGCGTACGGTGAAAAATCTAAGGGGGGAGGTCGAAACGAAAGCGCAGGGGGAAAGCTGAACTCGGAGCAATTTAGCAAAGCTTTCAGAATTCGCGGGGTGCGTTATTTGTGAGTGAAGCAAGCATATTTAAAGGGCACTTTCTTTAAAAGGGGGGTCGACAGCACCCATCGACCCCCCCACGGTACGCCCCTGCTATCAACTTGTATTTCTTTGATTTTCATAAATTTTGATATTTGCAAGTTTGTTTATTCTTTCTTTAGTACCTGTATATTTTTTCTGTATAAAAAAAACCTAACAAGCACACAACAGAGTGTATATTATAAATACACCTATGGGCATTCATCCATTAAATGAATAAGATGCACTGAGTCAGATTGATTATTCTGGTATATATTTAATTTTTCTTATAAACTTGAATCTGCGTAAATAATCTGATTATATTTAAAACGAGGTTTGTAAGCCTTTTATTATTTCATCATCATAAAAAGGAATATACTGTATATGATTTAGGTAGTTAAGTTTGGGTTTTTTTTTTGCATTCATCATGAATTTTAATCTGTATACAACCTAATAAATTTATAAATTTTCATGTACACTTTAACAATAAATTATCTGAATCTGATATGTATGTACAGTATAATTGTTATTACTATATATGATTAACAGTGTAAAAGGTTTCTTAACCCATTATAGAGGGCAGAAATTTGTATGTCGTCACTCATTACATAATGATAGCGCTGTCTCTTATACACATCTAGATGTGTATAAGAGACCGCATCCTACAGGGGACACCAACATCTCTCAAATTCAAGAAGATGACAATGGAGATTATTTTGTGGAAGGAAAATTCACAAGTCCAGGAGTTTGTAAACTAGATGTGAGTGCTGATGATGAACCAATTAACCAATCACCAATGACAATCAAAGTAGAAGAGGGAAGATTAGTAAATACTATTAAAATAAATGCAACAAGTATTAGAAATGTAGTTAAGTGTGAAGATGACTCCTTACTGGTTTCATGTTGGACAAATGAAATGCTCAAGTACAAGCAATCAGGAGAATATATTGGTAAGGTTACACTACCACAAGGTGTGGAAGTTTACA